TGAGCAGAGGGGTGGGCAGTGCAGGCAGCCGGGGGGGAAGGCCAAGCAGAGGGGTGGGCAGTGTGGGCAGCCATGGGGGAGGCTGAGCAGAGGGGCGGGCAGTGTGGGCAGCCGGGGGGAAGGCCGAGCAGAGGGGTGGGCAGTGCGGGCAGCTGTGGGGAGAGGCTGAGCAGAGGGGTGGGCAGCGTGGGCAGCTGTGGGGGAGGCTGAGCAGAGCGGTGGGCAGTGTGGGCAGCCGTTGCGGGAGGCTGAGCAGAGGGGCCGGCAGTGCGGGCAGCCAGGGGGGAGGCCGAGCAGAGGGATGGGCAGTGTGGGCAGCCGTGGGGGGAGGCCGAGCAGAGGGATGGGCAGTGTGGGCAGCCGTGGGGGGAGGCCGAGCAGAGGGATGGGCAGTGTGGGCAGCCGTGGGGGAGGCCAAGCAGAGGGACCGGCAGTGCGGGCAGCTGAGGGCGAGGCCGAGCAGAGGGGCTGGCAGTGTGGGCAGCCAGGGGGTAGGCCGAACAGAGGGGCTGGCCGTGTGGGCAGCCGTGGGGGAGGCTGAGCAGAGGGATGGGCAGTGCGGTCAGTGGTTGGCGGGGCTGGGCCATGTCAGAGAGCCTTTTGTGTGATGCAAGAGCCCCGTGTGTGACCTGGAGGACACCTGCCGGGTGATGGGGGCCTCCCGGAGAACTGCATGCCAGTGGGAAAGCAAGGACTGGGTGTTTCCACAGCCTGCTGCGGCTGTGGTTCTTTTTTGGGCAGTGTGTGAAATGAGTATATTTAAATGAGAACTCGACGCTATTCAGTCAGCGTGTAGATAATTTTAAATCTTCGTTACGTATTTTTGCGTTCTCCTCCTTCTCTGATTCGATGCTTGCAAGCTGTTTGAAGCGCCGGTTGGCCTCCTGACTGTGCCCTACGGCTTTCTGTCTTAGCTGAGGTGCGTGGCATTTTCTTGTAGGTGAATTCTTTTGGTTGTTTTGAAAGTGCTTTTGTTCACTGTGGAAACTTTGGAAAATACTTCAGAGTCTAAGGTATCTCTCAGATGCCAACAGTTAGCATTTTTGCATGTTCCTCTCTGTCCCTTCTGCATTTCTGGGAACACGCAGGTTGACATTCTCCCTGAGGGGAGGGTGCAGCTCCAAGGGGTCAGCCACTGTCCCAGCGTGGATGGGTGGAGCCAGGTGCCTTGCTTGCCGCCCTGGCGTGGCCGGAACCCTGGACTGTCCCTCATGGAGGAATCATCATGGCCCGTCGAGCCTGGCTGACAAGGGGCTGGGTGACGTTGGTGGCAGACGTGGTGGGTGAGCAGGGGTAGCAGAGAGAGAGGACTGGACACACACTGGGGGATCAGTCCAGTTAGCAAATACACAGAGACAGTGGGGGTAGCAGAGAGAG